TAGGAGGATCACCTGACCCTACTAAACTACACTATTTGGAATTTGTGCCCCGAAAATTGGCGCCGCGGTCGTACAAATCGTCACGAACTTTGCCGCGCAATTCGCCGCGCGCACCCTCGGACGCACGTTCGTACCGTCCCCCAGGGAAGAATAGGGCTTTTCTCGTGAGCTAGCACATCGAGAACGCATACAAGACATTTCCGATTAGGGAACCTACTACCCATACTACTCAATGTGACTACAACCACTCGTCAGTCCCACCCTGCAATATTACAGGAAGACATTCACTCAGCTTGCCTTTTGGCTTTGTACCTTGACAGAGATACAGGCTCGCTTGATTAACACTACCAATAAATCCTTTAAGCACCTATCAGTACTGATGATCGATGGCGATCTGATTTCTCACCTTGGTACAATGCGCCTGCGGCCATCGAATGCATTTTATTTACGGCAAATATGCAGTTCAGGAAATTGCGTTGCCAGACGTCATACGTATATAGGTAGCATACGTAAAAGTAGATGCGCTGCCATGCGCCGTCCCATGCTCGAGTTTGTGTTCGCGGGGTTGAGGAAGATCTTGAGGTAAGCGAAGTGGATCTTGCACACTGTCCGTTTGCGGCAGAAATTTCTTACGTATGTCATATAGTCATCCTGAGGCCGACTTTGATGGACAGACACTTCGGACATTTACTATTGAAAACGGATATTTTCTAAACCATCCTACCCACCACTACTTTTTCAAGGTGACAACGCCCAAGGTTAACAGCACCTTTTAGTCTTTCATGTACTAAGCGCCTTATTCGTTGTAGCCTTCCATTCACTAGGCGTAATTCAGGTGCCTTACCAGCACCTGAAATACGCCACCGGCATAATTGTCGTTGTTGCCTTTGGTTGTGCCTTAAACTCTTTCTCACACAATTGACTTTTCCCGTGACCTCCACCTGACGGTCACCATAACGGCTCAAAATAGGACTCTTCGCAGAGAAAAGCAATTCAGGAAATGGACATTGTGTAAGCTATTGAATGGAAACTTTTTTAGGACAGGACCATGATTCCATGTCGTCTTGACCATTGATACTTGCGGCAATAATTATCTCTATTCCCAACTAAATGACCTATTAACCGCTGCAATTTGGCAGTACGCGATGCGAAAGTCTTATATGATTGGCAATCATCTACATAAACTCTGCCTCGTACGAGATCAAACCCTGTTCGTGCTTTTTGACCCCAGACGAGTCGCGTCCGAGACCGAGCCTTTTCCAATAGCTCATTGGCCTCGGAAAAAACACNCATTCAGGGTAATCTGTGTGTTGATACGCTCCTAAAGTGGTAGTCTGAGGAATGAGGGGCGAATCAGATTGATGTCTTGTTCAAAAGTACACAGGAGTGCTTTGTAGTGGATACATTTTCAGTCCTCGAAAAGCTAATAAAAAACTTTCATTTATGGCACAACTGGCTTAGGAAGCTAGTGAAATATAGTGAGTGCACAGATCTATGACAATTCATGAGCTGTTCTCATTCGCACAAAAAAGAAAATATACAAGGCTGCTATTCAGTGCACATAAGCGGCCATGAACATTATAACGTTCATTACTTTGGAGTGATTTTTCTGTTGAATCAAGACAAAGACATAAAGACATAGACGATATTATTTGGCTTCTTCTGCTTTTGCTTCCGAAGGTGCCGGCGGTGCACCTCCCACGATTTTAATCGGTATCGCACGAGCAGGTGAACCTTCCTGAAATATGTTAAGATATCTTAGAAACTTTTCTAGGCGAGTTCTACTGGTCAATCACCTTCGGTCTCAAAGGAATAGCCTCGATCGTCAGCGTTCCATCACTGGTTAGCTTGCTTGACACACCTTCTGGTTGGACGTTTCGTGGTAGGTTGAACTTTCTGAAATGTCATTGCTATCATTGTGTGATGGCCAACAAACGGTTCAGTCTTTTGGGTTTTAGCATGAAAAGCACTGAGCTACTGCTCTACTTGCGTATTTGCTATGGTCTGTTCATAAGCAACCTTCAAAAATCAAATATTTTGGTGCCTTTCCCTTTTTCTTTTCTGAGTCTTTCCGCCAATTGTATCAAACCAATCATTGCTAATAAGCTGGTAGGACGCTTATTCGCTTATGCGCTTCATATTAGCAGTGATCGGGGACTTCCTGCTCAGAGTTTATCAGTTCCTATAGGGCTGTGATCCAAAGTATCCTCTCTAGGAGAAATAGGCGGCTTCAAATCGCAACACTTGGAAGAAGTTCTGTAGCAATGATCTGTTAAAGGGAGTGAGTGTGAGAGATTCGCTTTTGGCCTGGATTCTGGACTGTTTCCAGTAAAATCAAATGCGACTGGCTATGTCTTCAAAAATAGTCTTATTTTCTAAGTGCTCGATCCCGACTACACAGGTGCAGAATACTCAAGAATAATGGAATGGCGAAGTAATGCAGCTGGCTCAACTCTCTTCAGAAAACATGCCCGCCGCAGTTTACAGCACAGATTGGAAAGAAATGGCAATATATCATGCGATTTCTTCGTACCAAATGACGTTGCCTACGGGCTAGACTACACGCTTCGGCAGCGATCCAGAGAGGTGCGCTACGCTTCGCTGATGCAGTTGGAACCATTCATGGTAGCCCTATGCCAAAAATAGATTTCGGTTCGATTCGGACCATCTCAAAACTAACGGAAGGACCAAGCAATCTCATTCATCGAAGAATTTGCGAGAGTTCAAGATGCAGATACCTTTCAAAAAAGGTAACCCAAGCTTTTCCGCTAATGACGTGAAGGTGATTTTTGAGCACCTGCCATTATCACATTCGGAAATGAAAAGGGGTCAATAGTACAAAAGTCCGCGCATGTATTTATTGATTTTATTTATTTGAATACACCCAAGGGTGTGCCGTACAATATAAAAGCANGACTCTGAGGCAATTCCTGTCAACAAAAACCGGAAGAAAATGTCCTGAAAGAAGAAATAGGAGAGAGCCTAAAGACAGAGCCCAAGGCTGAAGGCCAAACATCATACTGTGAAAAAGAGTAACGAAGAAAAGAGCAAGAATGTCGCATAAAGGGCATCATCAGTATCACACTGTTGGGTCAGAGTTTTTATCCTCCCGGGCGATCTGTACCAATGAACCGGCCCTGGAGAGATGAAAAGCCTGATTGGCCTAGGCGCATACTTGTGCAAATGCGAGTTACACTGTTGCAATGAGGTTGTAATGTCTACTTGTGTGATTAAATTTGAACACTGGGTGAAGAGGGAATGATTATCATCCTTGCAAGCGAAACGCTTTTCTGTGATCAGCCTCCGTTTACTCAGAAGTTTAACATCAGGTTCAACTTGACAGTGTTCATGAATGTATTTCATCAATGAGTCAGGATGGCATATCCAAGAATGTATTTCAGATTTTTTTTTGCTCAACATGAAGATGGTGCCGCGCCAAGTGGCGCAACCACCCCTTATATGGTGCAACGAGCAAGTTCTTGATACGACTACGCCATTCAGGTCATCCAGATTTCCGAGGTCACTTGGTTAATAGCAGAACCTTCTGAGAAAAGAAATGAAACCCTATTATGTACAATGGCTGACCCCTGGAAGTGATTGTATTGGGCAAATACGCATACAAATGTCAACACCATTACGAAGAAAATCGGATGATGGACCCACTTAGTAATAGGATTGATCAACGCAAAAAACCTTGCTTCACTGTGATTACTACATTAATTCCTTATGAAGACCATGCTGTCTTTCCATCACAAGGATTTTGAGTGGATTGAAACACATGGCCAATGCTGATGACCAAAGTTTTTAAATTGTTACGTTACTAATGCATGGTGATTCATCCGATGTCTGGAGCCTTCACACATGTGGACGCTCGTAATATGTAGGCGCATTTGCTTTTAATTGCATTTCAATCCATATGCTCTCCCGTACTATTCAGAGAGAGATTCACTGCAAGAGATCAGTGTATGGTGTAATACTATTTAAGGCCATAAGGGCTTAGTAAGAAGGCTTTTGAACGTAAGAAAACGCAATCTTTCGCTATGAAATCGGCCCAGTTTCGCTCTAAGCCTCGGGACCTCGCTTAGAAGTTTGATTGGTAATCATTCAGCTTGCAACGATCTTCTCAATGCTTCGAGTAGTAACGTAGCAGTGCTCTCAAAAAGTGAATGCGAATTGTGCATTTCATTGTACGCTCAGATTACATTTCAGGAGAAAAACAACCATCATTGTGATGTTCCTCGAGAAATGACTGATGATGTATCGTACACTTTTTAGAAAAGAGGGAGAAGAAGAGGAAGAAGAGACGACAAAAGAGATGAGATGAGTGAAGCAAAAGAGATATGAGCGAATATCAGGATTGTACAACTAACCGCGTCCGGTGGACGTTCAAGTGACAAAAGAGTGTTCACTTCTATGGATAAATCGGGGCCTTTCTGCTGTTCATTTTTGAAAAATAGATGGTTAATCTAGGAAATTGTTTTGCACAATATGAATATGTGCCAACCACCCCACCCTCGCTCTGTCGCCGTTTTTTCAAACACGCGATTCATTCATGGGTGGAACGGAATGAACGGCCCAGGCTACGTGACGGTCTGAGAACAGCAAGGCCTTTGTTTAGGTAGATAGGCAGAGATCGACCCATGAAAACTTCCAAAAAATTCAATTACAACTCTTTCACGACTTTCTTCAGTATATTCTCGAGCTCCTCTGCAACGCGTGCCCTCTGGACTGTCCCAAAGATTTTACACCGCCCATATTCGAATGAAAAGCATTTTCTGGTATTCGGTAGCTAACCCATGGGCTTTGATCAGCGGGACATAAACGTTCCTGTAACGAGTAAACTTCGCAGACATTTCCACGAGCGATAAGGACATCTCAGCTCTATGCATCGGCTGATATGATGAAATCGAATTTTCACTCATCATTTCAATGTGAGATATTCAGCATGAGGGCGCTGTCGATCCCATAGGTGATTATCAGCGAACGAATTCCCTAGAAGAAGAGTACTTCAATCAGAAAGTCATGGAAGCTGTGAGTAGCACTTTCAGGATCGCCCTAGTTCACCGAACAAACGGGAACGGTACAATCCTCTTATTTTCGACAAATGCTATGCACCTGTAAGTTGTGCGGCAGGCTCACCTCCCCAACTACTACCAACTAATCGTTCTGAACGGTCTGATTCGGAGAGATAGACCGTGAGCGAACTAGGACTTGCGGAATGTGAACAACTCTCGTTGTGAGGTGGCGAGAAAATCACAATGCCTATTCAGTAAAATCGTGGCGCATCCTGAACAGAACCCGGCATGCATCAGTGCTGTGCCGCTGACATTTGCTTATTTGCATGGGAATTTGATGAACAACAGAAAATGAAAGGAAAAGATAACACAGGTTGGGTAGTGTGGAACAATTCTGTTGAGTTAAGAGAGTCCGTGTAGGAAATGAAAAAAAGCACGTAGTGAATCTTATTTGTCCTCAACAAAATAGAAGAACAAAAGGGGCGCAAAATGAAAAAAACATCAAAATAGTAAAACAATATTTCTCCAGGGTCTTGAATTGTCGCGGTGTCTTTGGAAACTGTTCAAATCAAAAAAGGAGACTGTCTGACAAGGTCCCTCTCCTTCACAGAAATTGAGGAAAGCCTTCTACATTCAGAGTGTATGTAGTAGATGGTGACTAGTAAGGGATCTTACAGAACGAAAAGGCTCCCATCCAGTCGATGAGATCAGGCAATAAAAATGTAGGATCTCCTTAGTCTCTAGAAAAAGAAATCTTCATCTGGAGAATAGCGGTTTTACCTGATAAAGTGTCTCTCGATGGTTCCAAACTCATCCTGTTTTTCACCATGTTTTCCCTCGACCACAATGAATTGCCCAACAACTGATATCTGGAAATATCGCATTTATGGTGCTGCTATCGCTTTCTAATAAGGGCAGATCGCTAAGCCTCTCATTTCGCACAAGGCAGGAGTACAAGCAGCTATTTGACCTGAAGATTTTTGGAACTTTCATGGATTCAGTTAGGGGTGAATTGATACTGTAAAATGGGGAGCAGGTGATAGAAGCAGATGGACGGTCTTAGTAACCGCTTGAGGAGGTCTTCACTATGAATTGACTCTTTACTGTTGAAAATGTTATACCGACCCCGAAGTAATGCTGGAAAAAGAGCGCCCTTGCTTCATTATTGCTGGTTTTTCTATTTTATCTTTTTTTCACTGCCGGAGCGTGTTCTTTCAAGTGTTTACTGCAAAAAAAAATCAAGAGGATCTCCCGAGTCACCATTCTTTCAATGTTTTGAACTTTTGTCAAGGGTACTCATTCCCTTGAGGATTTGAAAAGTGCTTTCGTTCCAGACCGTTTCCAAATGTTGCTGATAACAGTAAAGGGCATATCTAGGTATCGGCACTGAATCCTCTAAGGTGCTCCAAAATATGGACTTTTACATACGATTATAGACGGAGACAGCGGTGTAGGACATGTCGGCGGGGACGGTATAACTCCTCCTGCCGCTGCTTCACCTTATATAATACTTCGTAAATGTGATGATAATAAAAAACAGCGATAATCATTGGGTACAAATGAAAACGAAATTGTGCCCTGTACGATTTCTAACTCATGCAAGGATCAGACCTATTAATCTATACGGGGAATCGCGGTATGAGTAGAATGAATCTCTGCTCAATTAATGCATGAGCAAGTTTGTGGCAAGCCAAGTGCGTTGGGGACATTTTGCCATGATCCAGCTATAATCATGCGATCTGGTTGTACTTTGAATTGTAAGAAATGTCACTGAGACTTGCGAAACACAAGTCTTGCTGACCAAACCAATTTATAACATAAAAGGCAAGTCCCGGCAAATGGTGATTTTTTGTTTGACAATAAGTCCCCAGTTCTGTCCAAATTTATTGTACTCTTACAATAAGCTCATTCTGCTATATTCGCTTTTTCATTCACAACTTATCGTAATCCTCTCTTCAGAAGTGGTCTGCATGAGACGAATACTGGTCTGTTTTTCTGCTTTTTTGTTGTGATTCTCACTCAGGAATGCACTTCTTTCATTATTGTGGGTATTTTCGCAATCAATCAACTTTTACTTAAATCTCTTTCAAAAAAAAATCGGTTCGAATTAGAAAAGAAAACATGACTAGGGAAGCTGCAGAGTGGTCACACCCTTTGCTCGATGAAAAACTTACTTTCAAATCATCAGGCCCCCTGAACTGGGCAACATCCATAGTAACAATAAGCGAGTCATCGGTGGCGTGAAGAGAGGAGATGTGTCCTCCTAGTGGAGACGGAAACGACGGAATAGACGGGAATGCGGTCTGAAAACGATAAGCATGAATTTTTGAATAAGTCC